GGCCCTGGTCGTCCCCTTAGGGCCAGAGCAGCCATGCCAGCCATTCTTGTGGCGGAAAGGGGTCACGTAGGCACGGCCCCTCCGTGTCCTCTGCGGGCGCCTGTGTGACATGCCCTGGCTGCAGCTGGTTGCCATGGCGACAGCGTCTGCAGGGGACGGAAGGGGCTGGTTGGTACCTGTGAGGGGCAAGGTCACCCAGAGCAGTGCCCGTGGCACGCTCTCGCCCTCGACAGCACGCGAGGGGCCCCCGGAGTTTCCGCAGCCGGCAGCCCCTTTGTGCCGTGTCGGCGACCGTGCGGCGCACACTCGGGTGTGCTTCCCTCCTGAGCCGGAGCCTGGGAAGACGGGAAAGTGACTGCAGGCTCCCAGCGCTCTGCAAGGTGCCAGGGTGGGGCTCCTCGAGAGTGACAGCCGTCGGGGGGGGGAGGGGGCGTCTTTCTCCTGCCTCCCTGCTCTTAACCCGGAGCTAATGGCTTTCCTGCTTCTCGTGCGGATGGTGGCTGTCACTCTTGAAGGATCCATAGGTGCAACGCTTAATTATTCTTTCTAAGTAACTATAATAATTCCAGGGAAGGTAACGAGGCCCTGGTCGGTGTTCTCTCTCTAGCGTGGCCATCTGTGTAGCTCGCGCCTCTGAGGCATTGTTTCAGATTATGCTTTTCTCCTGGGTCACAAGTGGCTTAATTTATGCCGTGTGGACCTTGACTCGGTGACCTCCACAGAGGTGGTGTGCATGCTGAGCCCCGTGGCCATGCAGCCCTGCCGCCTCCCCAGCCCCCTCCCCAGCCGCCCCTCACTGGCCAGGCGGGTCTGCTTCCCGTCCCCAGAGGAGGGATCGCTGCGGAGTGGCCAGGCCGCTGTCCCTGTCCCCACGCGGTTCTCCTGAGGGCGCCAGGCACAGGTCCAGCCTCTTGGTGCCAAATTTTCTGGATCTTTAACAAAAGAGCATCTTCACTCTCCGCACGTCCCTCGGTCCACACGGACGGTAAGCACTACTTCCACGTAGCTCTGATTCAGGGGGCAGGTGCCCGGAGCTGAGCAGGAGGGGCAAGGGACCCCCCCACCCGTCAGGAGTGGGGTCGGGAGACCCAGGCCCTGTGCTCCTCTTGTGGAAACACGCCGAGGGCCCAGGTCCAGCACGCGTTACGGGGTCTTTCTTGGAAGTCACCTATGGCCAGCCACACGTCACAGGCCGTGCGGCCCCAGGTGCTGGTTCAGACGCACCGGTCAGGAGAACATCACCTCTCCGACCGCACAGGCCGCCGGCAGACGCAGGGCACAGGGCCGTGTCCGTGGGGACCTGGGGACGTGGACCGGGGTGGCCCGCGGTTCGCTATCCGATCGGCACCGGGTGGGGTGACCCTGCAGCCTCCCTGGGGGGGACCTGCTCCACCCCCACTGCCTGTCTCCTCTTCAGAAGGGCAAACGGAGCCTGGGAGCCGCCCCGCCACCCGGCAGCTGCTCAGGCGGTCGCTGCCCAAGCGTCTGGTCCCAAGTGCGGACGCTGGTCTCAGCGGAAGGACTTCCTCCACTTTCACACGGAAGCTTCCCAAACGCGGCCTGTTTGGCACTTGTCAGCATTACTGGAAACAAGCCAGGAGCCACAGGAGGGAAAGTTCCAGAAACAGGCAGCTGCGTGGACCTCACGTCTCGTGGCTTCCTAGCAGGCATTTGCAACCACCCCCCCCCCCAGCACACAGGCCTCATCCCCAAGGAGCATCCACTGGGGCAGAGCCTCCCGGGGCCCCTCGGACTGCTGTGTCCAGCAGCGCTTGCACACCGGTGGAGGGACCAGCGTGCGGCGTCCCCTCCAGAAGGGGATACGTGTGAGCGCGGGTGGGAAGGGCGCAGGCGCCCTCTCGAGTGGGACTCGTAACTGAGGTCGGGTCCCCAGCGGGACCTGCCGACTGTGTCTGGGTCAGTCTGTCACAGCGGCAGGCACGTCCTGCGGTGGCGGCCCCGCGGCGCGCCTCTGGGCTGTGGGAAGCCGCCCGGCGGCGCCCTGGGCGTGTGTCTTCCGGGGCCGCCTTCCCGCCACGCAGGGGAACAATGGTGCGTCTGTGCAGCGGCACAGCTGCGCGGCCCCAGGAGATCCAGGCAAGGAGAGCGAAGCAGGTGGGTCTGCGGGCGACCCTTTCCTCTCCGGCCATGTCGCGGGCGCTGATGGCCTGAGGGCTGGCGAGGTGGTGGCTCCAGCCAGATTGGGGGGGGTGGTGAGGGGGCAGGCGGCTCTGCTCTCCCTGAGCACCTCGCAGGGTGGGGAATGTTCCAGTACATTCCAGCACACGTGAATCCCTAAGGTGGCAGTGTGTCCCCTGCCCACCCCATCGCCTGCTTGCCGGCACTTAGGGGGGTCCCTGGGCTCCGCCATCCGCACATCACTTTGACTGGTGTCACTCAAGCTGTGTATTAAAATTCCGCTCGTCACGTCTGTGCAGAGTGAGGTGGCAATTAGAGAAGGCGGGCCCGGCGCTCTGGGGAACGCGCACCCACGCGAGCGTCTCGGAGTCTACGCGGGCTTTCTGGTGAGCGCGGGCAGGGCCGGCTCCGCACCGCGGGGCCCAGCAGACGCACCCGCGGCGTTCTGGCGGACGCCACACTGGCAGGCTCTGGGGCTCGGCCAGCTCTGCCCAGACGCCCCTGTGCCAGCCGCCCCATGTGGCACGGTGGCCCTGGCCTCCTGCCGCCCACGCTGTCCCCACACGGGAGGGGGATCGGGACGCGTGGCGCGTCTCAGCGGACACGTCCGTCACTGCTGCAGTGGCCAGTCACGTCCGTGCTCTGCAGCGTCCTTGGGCCGTGAGGTCTCACAGATCACAAAACACACCCCAAGGAAAGGAGTCCGAATTCAGTGGCTGTTCCACCTCTCACAGTAAAACTCGAGACTCGTAAAAGGAACAAAGTCGGGGTTTTTTAACAGTTGAGACAAGAAAGGGAGTTTGAAGTAAACTGTAAAGCAAAGGTCCCCCTTCCCCATGGACAGGGAGAGCCTTGCCTCGAGGGGCACGGTCTGTCTGCGTCTGGAATCCCCCAAGACGGAGCGCAAACACTTGCTTCTCCTTAGAGAAGTCGGGGTTCTGAGCTCTGGGCGGGTGCAGGCGGGCGCTGGGGAGCCAGGCCGAGTCCCCGTGGCTATCCCCCGCGCAGGTGGCACCGATGCCCCCTTCCCGGCACTCTGGGCCTCCTTCTCCTTCTGGAACTCTCTCTGGGTGGTGCAGAGTGTGCTCTGGTGGCCCCAGTGACCCCAGCACAAGTGCATGTGGCCCAGCCGAGGCAGCGAGCCCACGGGGACGCCACACTGGCCCGTGTAGGGCAAGGCTCACCGCCCCTCCGGGTGGGGGCCGGTTTGCGCATCAGCCCCGGTGCCGGGCACTGCCTCACAGCAGGCGGACCTCGTCCTGAAATCAACTGATGGGGCACCGGGGCTTCAGAAATCCACAGAACACATGAGAGTAAATGGTGCCCCGTTTTATTAGGAAGAATGTCATGGCACAGGAAGAGCCCACGCACCCGCCTGACACTGAGCGGGCTGCTGGCGGGCATCTTCACGTCCCCCGTCTCCTCCTCCAGTGCCTGTCAAAGTAAGTGGCAGGCATCAAGCCGTCCATGTAGCCCTAAAATCTCAGGTTCAGAACTCATTTAGGGTTGTCTGTTAATGGTGGTTTTCTCTTTTTAGGAAAGAGTTTACAATGAAATGCGTAGACCTTCAGGTGCCCCTGACCCACTGAGTCATGGGGTGTCGCCCCAGCATCCCGGTTCCCGCTGCTTTCCCCTGTATCAGTTTTGCTCCTTCCAGAACCTTCTGTGAATGGAACCATAGCGCGTGGACCCTTGTCCAGATCATCTTTCATGCTGCATAAAGTTTATGAGATTCATCAAAAAAAATTTTTTTAAATGTTTTATTTATTTCTAGGAGAGAGAGAGAGAGAGAGACAGCGTGAGCAGGGGAGGGTCAGAGAGAAAGGGAGTCACAGACTGAAACAGGATCCAGGCTCTGAGCAGGCAGTCAGCACAGAGCCAAACGCGGGGCTCGAACCCACAAACCGCGAGATCATGACCTAAGCGAAAGTCGGACGCTTAACCGACTAAGCCACCCAGGCGCCCCTTGTTTATCAGATTCATCAAAACGAGATGAAAAAAATGTGTGCAAGGGCACGTGGGTGGCTCAGTTGGTTAAGTGTCCGCTGACTCCCGACTTCGGCTCAGGTCATGATCTCGCAGTTCGTGGGTTCAAGCCCCGTGTCGGGCTCTGTGCTGACAGCTCGGAGCCTGCTTGGGCTTCTCTCTCTCTCCCAGCCGCTCCCCTGCTTGTGCGCACACGCACTCCCTCCCACTCTCTCCAGATACGTTAATGAGCGCGTGTGCACCATGCAGAATGCCATTAGTCTCTGAAAGGCTGAGTGACAGCAGCCAGGAAGCTGCTCGAGTCGCTTGTTTCCACGATGGGCCGCCTCCGTGTCCGTGGGTGCAAGGAGCACCCGCCCCCGCTGTGCCTGCACCGCTCACCGCGCTTGTGATAGGGTCCCCACTATCGCCGCACATCCTGCAGTGGAGCTGCCGCCGCCCCAGGCCAGGCCCCCCGGGGCTCACAGGGGCCATTTGACTTACAGCCCCTGTCCCTGTACGTGTGTCCCCCCCAGGCCTCCCCCGTCACCGGGGCGGACCGGGACCCTCACGTCCGGGTCAGGCTGTCTGGCCTGGTGTGCGTGTGTCCCGGTGAGGTCCCCTCGGGGAAGAGCCCACACACCTCGTGTACAAACCCACTGAACTGAAACAATGGCAGTGTGTGCGGAGCGTGGGGCCCGCGTCGGGTCTGTGCAGGGCCCTGCCGAGGGCCTGGCTCGGGCGCCGCAGCCGTGCCCCTGCCCCCTCTGACAGGTGCCCTGGCCGGGGGCTGAGACCACCTGCCCTGGTTGAAGTCTCATTTAAGAGAAGCCGAGTGTGGAAAGCGTCTGGCTGTTGCTAACGTGCCCCTCGTGTTCTTACTGTGCTCCTTGCAGGATGGGAGTCCCAGCTTCTGGAGACGGGATTCCTGGGAATCTTCCTGTGCCCTCTTTGGACTCTGTCTCGACTGCCCACGGGGACCCCCCCGTCCCAGATCGTTCTGTGGGGCTTTCGGTGGCTGATTTTCAGAATCATGCTCGGAGCAGTAAGTAGAGCCTTCGCCTGCCGTGCTGCGGGGCCGCGCCTGGGGACCCCTTCTGCTGCCTTCCGCCCTCGGTGGCCTGTTCCCGAGCACAAGTGACACCGGCCCCCAGTCCCGTACACAGGCACTGCCCGCGGGACCTGCGGGCGCCTGGCTCACCGGCCCGGGGCGCGCCTCCCGAGGGCCGGGCGTGCTGGCGGCTGCCCTGCGCCCCACGCGGCCGCTCCATGCCTGGTGTGCTCCCGGCTCCCACCCGCTCCTTGGCCCTCGGGACCAGGCGCCCCCGCTGCTGCCGCCGCCCACGGGGCCCTTGCAGGTCCGTGTCTGCCTCTGCGCCACCTCCCGTCACCTTCGGGTGTCTCAGAAGCATCACCTGGACCTTAAAGTCAGGAGTGACGTGGCCCCTGGCTAAGCACAGAATTTGGCGAAATCGTGTTTGCTCTCTCGTCCGCCTCTCGCTCTCCAGTAATAAGACCTTGATGTTTATGCCGGACACTAACTTCCCTTATGTCAGGGGAGCCCTGGCCCCCAGCTCTGCTAGGTGCCCATCTGCCCGAAGGTTCGGCAGGTGCGGGTGGGCACGAGCTCGCAAAGGGCGCTTGGCCCCACAGAGGGCAGCGGCGCCTCCCGCGTCCCTTTCGGTCTGGACTGCCCGCCGTCTCCTGTCCCCCACCACCTGGCACCGGCTGTCTAGCATGCCCTGCGTCCCTGGCAGGAGCCCCTTGTCACTGTCAGCCTGGGACAGCGTCCGCGTGTCCCGTCCCTGCCAGATCTCCGTGGGCCCGCGTTCTGTCACCGTGCAGTTAGTGAGTGTTTCGTGGGCGAGGCCCGTAGAGTTCCGTGGCCGGCGTTAATTCGATGCCCTCCCTCCCTCCCCATTACCTGTCTGGCTGACGAGGGCCGTCTTCTCGCCCCGTCGCCTCGGATCCTGAGCGGTGCCAGCTCCTGATGGAAGGTCGGCGGCCACGGGCACACGCCTCACTCGCCCTCCTGGGCACTGAAGCAGCCTCATCCCCAGGTGTCTGCAGTCCGGTCACTGCTGCGTCGGGGCCTGGGGGGCGGGGGCCGGGGGCACCGGAAGCGGCCTGAGTGAGGGGAGCGGGCGCGCTGCTGGGCCGTGGCTGGTGCGCAGCGCCTCGGCTGCCGGCGAGGGGAGCGCAGGGAGCCCGCGGGTGGCCCGGCGTGGCTCTGAGCCCAGGCCGTGTGTGGGGTGAGCGTGTGGCCGGATGCCACTACAGACGTGCTCCCTCCAGACTCCTCCATGCGGGACGTGCGTACCCCCTTTCCTGAAGCACTGAGGTCACTGGCTGATTGGCAGCCTGGGGTTCCGTGTCTGTCTAGGACTTCGCTTTGGATTTTTTCCTCAGCCACCTTTGAAAATCCAAGGTGTTCGGTGTTTGAGCCCCTCACCGGGGACTCGCCCGGTGCCACAGGCTCGTCAGGAGGCGGTGGCGGGGGAGGGGCGCCAGGCGGCAGAGGGGCTCCCGCGGAGCCTGACGGCACTCGGGCCCCTTTCACGGCACTTCGATGGACCGTTCGCAGCAGCTGGACAGAAACGTACCAGGAGCGCTAAAAGGTGTGATTACTTGATTCCATGAGTGTCGGGTGTTGCTCGTGCTCCTTGGCTGGAGGACAGGGGCCTGGGAAAGGCCAGCGCCTGTCGCCCACGGCGGGAGGGGGTGTGCGGGCCTGCCGAGGACTGAGCTGCCTGCGGGTGAGGCCCCCGCCTGACCTGCTCCTGCTCAAAGCCAGCGTCATGGACTCAGGAGCCACCCTGGCTGTCATCCGCGGCGGGTCCACAGCGGGCGGTGAGCCCCCTGCACACGGCCTCCTGGCCCCAGGCACCCGAGGTGGCTCAGCGTGGCCTCCGCACCGTGCAGGAGCAGCCTCTCTCTGTGAACGGCCGGACGCTGGGCCTGGCATGTGATGCACCTGCTGTCACGCTGGACAGCGGGGGGGGGGGGGGGTGCCCTCCAAGGGGATGGACTGAAGGCTGCAGAGTTCCCTGGGCCCCGCATCCTGCTGGAATTCCCGGGGCAAGGTGCAGAGGCGGGACCAGGGCACAGGAGGAGCCCCAAGAAAGACGCAGCGCCCCCTCTTGCTGAGTCGCAACAGTGCATGGCTCCAATCTAATCCCGACAGACGAGGCCTTTACTGATTGGCCACCCAGGGGTCCCGTTGGAGCAGTTGTATGAAGTGAGATCATCCAAACAAACAAAAAGCACCTTTCCCCCAGAAGACCGCGGGCCCCGAAGACATGCCGGTGAGCCGTGTACGACATTTCAGGAAGAACAGTGAGTCCTTTCCGCACGCATCCAGCAAACGGAGGAAGCCCTCGTGGGCTCACTCTGTGAGGCCAGTGAGGACAAGGACGTTTCAAGAAAAAGCACCTACAGAGCAGTTTCCCTCAAGAGCACGAACAGCAGTCGTGACCTGCTAGCACACGGACCCCGCAGTGCCCGAGCGGCCCGCCTGCCACCCGGAGACCAGGCGGGCTTCCGGCGGGACGCAGGCCGTCCCGCTTCCAGGCGAGAAGCAACGTCAGAAGTGACGCGATCATCCTCCCCGATGGATTCAACGCCGTTCACAACTGACAAAGAATCTTCTGGCGCACTAGGAACAGGAAGCATTCCCGCCTGACCCGTGTCGCACCCGCCCCAGCGCCGCCCTCGCCTGCAGGAGACGGCGTGCTTGTGCCGCGCGCCCGGCGCTGTACTGAAGCTCGGCGCTCACGCGGAAAAGCGGGGCAGAGCCGCGAAAGCCCTGAAGGCGGGAAGGGAGGACGGAGAAGCAGCGTCCTCCGAACCAGCGCGCGCAGTTAACCGGGCGCGGGAGTCACGCACAGGCACACAGACCAGCTCTTTCCACGGGCCGGGAGAAGCCGCGAGCAGATGAAATTTGGGGGCAGCACTACCGTGCTGTCCGAGCTCCTGTCTCCCCACCCAGGCCCCCCGGGGGCCCGCAGAACCGCCACCCGGCCGCCCACACAGGAGCCGAGCCCGGCGGGGGCGCCACCTGGGGCCCTGTGGGCAAGATGCCGCGGCAGGAGCCGACGACCCCGCGATGTCCGCTGACAAAGGAACTTCTGCCTTCCCTGAATCGACCTTTCCACGTGGGCGGGGACCATCCCCAGAGCAGCGGGCAGCGGACGTGAAGGCCTGAGGTGCAGGCTGTCCCCGGAGCGCCCCAGTGCTTACGCTGCACCCACGGGGAGGGGTCCTCACGCCCCGCCGCCACCCTGCCGCCCGCCACCTGCACACCCGCAGGATGCCCAGCGCCCAATGCCGCCACCCCGTGAGCACACACGCTGCCGAGCCTGCAGAAACCCGCGGCCTTGAAGCAGCATCTGCAAGGGAGCTGCCGAAGCCGGCGTCTGGCCAAGAATCCGGGCTGCGTAGCCTCTCTCCCTTGCGTAGCCTTTTTATCTTCTCAGATCGCCTGCCCTTTCCTGCGTTTCCGTCTAGGACTCTGCATCTTAAGCTGTGGTGTCATTTTTGTTTCGTTTCTGGTTTTTAAATTAAGCTTCTGGTTGAGCCCTTGTGATGAATGTGTGTTTTTTTTTTAAAAAAAAGAGAAAACGTAAACCATGTCATTAACAACCTCCAACACCGTACAATACTCAGGAAATTTTAACTGAAATCTACCACTGTGTTCTCTGAAACCTGCCGTCGTTGGTGACAGAGAGGAGAGAGGCTTAAATAGACACACTCGTGTGAGTCGGGAGCCTCCCCACTGCCCCACGGTGCAGCTGTCCTCAGACCCATCTGTAGATTCCCTGCCACCCAGACGTAATCCTAGAAGGATTCTGTTTCTAGAAGTTGATGAACTCATTCTTACATTTGTATGGAAATGCCAAGGACCTAGAATAGCCAGGAAACCCTGGAGAAGAGTAAGCGGTGAGTCACACCCCTTGTTCCGAGTTGCCCAGGAGTCGCAGTTGGTGAGATGGGGCAGTGGGGACTTAGGACAGACGGCCAAATCCTCGGGAGGGTCCGTGTGTCCGGAAACAGCCCCACACGGAAGTCACCGTGACGCAAGTTTGGGACAACCGACCAAGTCCGTGCTGCTGAGAAAGACAGCACGGCGCGTCTCTGACGCGCGGTGCTCAGGCGGCTGGCTACCCGCAGAGGCCCAGCGGCCCCGGCCGCCACCGCGCACAGGAATCCGCCGAGGCGGTCACAAACGTAAAAGTGGAAATCCCAATACTTGCTGAAGGTAACGGAAAAATTTTGAAGTTCAAGGTAGATCAAGGTTTCTTCTAACATGGAAAACATTAACAGAGCAGACGAAAATGGATAAATTGGGACTCCAACAGAATCAGAATCCTGTCTTCCCAACAGACAAGGGCGATAGATGCCACCCACGGTACCCCTGCCCCTCACAGGGAGCCTGCGTGTGGGCCCAGAAAGGACGCATGAAACCCCACGGTCACAACGATCAGTGTGGAAAGGGGAAGCTTCACCAAGGAACCCTGCAAACATGTGCCGACGCTCCGCTTCACTGGCCGCTAGGGAAACGCCAGTCCGTCTGCAGCGGGAACGGCTGAAGCCACAGAGGGCAGGGCCACACGGCAGCGCAGGTCCCCGCACGCGGAGTGGCTTGAACAGCCTGCCTCCTCCCGGCTCGTGGACGGCCATCCCCTTCCTGTGTCCTCACAGAGGTGGGGGCGGGGGAGCAGCCCTGGTGTCTGATGGCGCACTCGTGCCGTCCGGTCAGCACCCCATCCTCAGGGCCCCACTGACACTTTACCTGCTCAGTCTACACACAGGCACATGCGGGGCCGGGACTTCACCTACAGACGGGGGAGGGCACGGCGCCGGGCCCTTGGCTGCAGGGGCGTGAGCAGGAGGGGCTGCCCTCGGGACTGTCCCGGGGGGGTCGGGGACGTGCTCCCCAAAACTCCGCGGGCCGGCGGGCGGGGGTGGCGCGGTGACCCCAGTGGACTCCCGTCCTTGGAGCAGAGGTGCAGGGTGCCTCCCGCTGGAACGGCGCCAGCCGCTCCC